TTCCACCTATAAAGCGCCAGTTTTTCTACGGTTTTTAGACGCAAAAAGTGGCACTTTATATACGGACGGTCATGCCGTTCATAATATTCATTATGTACTTGCATTATGCACGGGGCGGAGCAAGCGCCTGCGGAGCAGCACAAGGCAGTATGAAATGCTCATATCGGAGGGGCACGATATGAACCAAAGCGTCACATGGGCTGGCGCGCTGCATGTCACTTATAACCTTACAGTTTATGTAAATGTGCGAGCAAATTTTGATGATTTAAATGACGAAAGTTGAAATACAAAAACCGCAACGTGGAACTAGAGTGGAAGTAGAAAAAATAGCATAAGCACTTCGTGGCTAAACGTTGTTAAAGACTCGATTGATTAACCCTCGTTTAGCCACTTGTTACTTAATATAATATTATATTTTTGTGGAATAATTTCGCCAATTTAAAATTCTTCTTAATACATTTTCTTCAAATGCCGAGTTAAGTATCATGAGACATTTATCATTGTGAAATCAATTTTTCCAACAGTATTCTTCCTGAAAGACTCAAAGAAATGTGTTTCCTGTCACTAGAGCTTGTTAAAAACCAACAAGCTGCAATAAAACTCTGTATGTAATTGGTTTATTCAATTCCGTATTCCACATTCGAAATTGATTTGAGAAAAGCCACGTGTGTGCGCTATACTTCAATTACGCGCAAATTGCTCCTGCGAATACTTGAAAACAAACATACACTCATGCCCAAACACATTCAAAGCCATATTAAACTGTTATCGTCCGAATCCTAGGCCGCTGTACACATGAGCGCTCAAATATTACTAAAGTGAAACAAAGAAACAAGCAAACCGACATACAAACGACACTGCTAACTGGTTTTGGGCCGAGTTTTTTTTACGTGTGCACCCCGTCGCACCCTCAGCACGCGCGATTATTCGTTTTGACATTTTACGTGTGAGCCCATAATCGAGTGTAAACGCAAGTGTCGCACATCAAGTTTTTTCCCCCCCTAACAAAACCAAATTACTGCAATAAAATTCAACATTTTATTTGTATTCTTCAAATAAGGTACACACGATGGCAATCCCGACAGAAAAAAATGTTAAAGTGGTTTGTAATGCGATGTGCAACACCTTGTAGAAAGAAAAATTGAAGAAAAAGAAAAACACTTGCTGTAATGGCATCGCAAGTGTTCGCCTCGCTGAGAGCACACTTTTATAGGATCAAAAAGCATCACGTTTTATTTTAATTACACCCTGTTTACCTACAAGCTTCTCGTTTGCGAGCTTCGATTCCAAGCATGCGCTCAAAAACTTCCATTTTAGTCAACTTGTTCTATGCGAATTTTAAATTAATAAGCGCAAAACAAAATAAATAAAAAAGATGCGACGCTTAATGTGTTGTCCATTAGAATTTTTAGGGTAATGGGACAATAAAAAATTCTGCGTGCAGGGTTCGTTTCTTTTTTTTAATTGAAATAAAACGAGTCACACAAAAACCAGCTGGCTTTTTTTGCGTGGCTATACTTATTACATTACTCGCGTTTCTGTTTATTTACTTTTTTTAGCGTTCTGATAAAATTCGTAATTTCCGCTTTTGTATTGCGTCAGAGCGTTGCTTTGTCATGTTTCACATGAAAATGGTTTTTTGTTTATCAATTACAGCAGGTCAAACACGAATCGAAACTATGCAAGTACGCGAACATTCGTTCGCACAAAGAGGCTATTAACTTTAATAGAATTCATACTGCAGACTCAAATTGAATCGAGGGAGAGGTAGGCGGAATTCTCGAAGTTGTTAATTAAATACGGCATTCGCAAAATGCCGTTGCACCTGCAATTCTGATTTATGCGTAAATTAATTCTCAGTTTGTGCGAAAACTAATCGTACATATGCTAAATTTTATATTTTTTCGTAAATTTATAAGGCTTCCGAATCTATAATATAAAAATGTATCGCAAAATCTGTTTGTAAGCGCATAACTCAAAAACGCCTAGACCAATTTGGCCAATTCTTTTTTAAAATGTTCATTAAAGTCCGAGAATGGTTTTTACGGTGAGAAAATTTTGAATAATTGCCGGGAAAACCCTTTCTTTCCCTCCTAAATATATTTCACATACTGAAATGACAAGTCATTCTAATTTCCTACGAATTCTAGCGCTTCCACTTCGAACGAGATTTGATAGAGTAAAAACGTTTTATTTTGTAGAATTGCATGAAATGAGAAATGTGTGCAGGAGGAATAGTTCAGTGGAAGCTGCCATTTCGGCGCCTTCCTACAAATCGCTTCGCAATTACTCCAAACTGTTGTAAACTCGTAAAATCTGTTCTCCGCCGTTGCCACCGCCGCTACAGCCGCCTTCCGTTGCTCGAAAGGTCTATAAGTAAAGGCGAACAAATAGTGATCGTAATTCCTGTGAAACACGTGCCTTGCTTGAAATTTATACATTTGTCGCCTCCCAACTACCAGCGAGTGAAGTTTTGCATCACTTTTGTTTTGCAGCTTTTAGTTCGAAAGTATTCACTTCGATTTCAATACAATACCTCCACCTACATAGTGAAATCTGCTGGAAATTTTCATGGCGACGATTTTCCCATCGATGCATAAAATCGTTTTACAACTTTCCGCGCCAGTACAACGATTTTTTGTTGTTCTTGTTATATTTCCTGTTATACGTTCAAACCTAATGGAGTAGAAATTGTTTTGTGATGACGTCACATATACAAAACCTGCGCCATCTGTTTACGAAAATATCGCATATCCATCTGTGTTCAATAATTTTTTATCTCGTGCATTAAAATGTCAGAATGTGTACAACATTAATTCCCATTCAATTATCATCACTCCATGTAGTAGGTAGTAGCAGCTATTTGTAGAAACGACTAGTGTGGCTATAGCTCCAATAGTTTTTTTAAAAACAGGCGTTGACGGTTTTACGCACGCGTGAGGTGTCCGCACTATAAATTACCGATAAATTCGCTTCTAATGAAAACGATAAATAAGTGTTTGTGCGTAAAATGTGAAAAATTTCGAGGAGCGTATATTCGTGGCGCGCTTCCGTTGGAGTTTTTCAACATTCTCCGCACGCACTTCGATTCGATTCACTTCGAACGTTTATAAATAACGACGCGCGACGATTTTTCCCTGTCGCGCGTCTTTTTTTAAAAGCGTGTGGCGCCTTTTGATAAACGTATGTGTTGTGCACATTGCTTACGCATTTTTGCACCGGGAAATTCTCTATAATTCTGCTGAAATACTGCAAAGAAAAAAATCTTAAAGTCCACGGCGTAAATGATTGAGGAATTATTTAACAAACTTTACGAAAATTCTCACTTTGAGTTTGATTGATGATTGATTGATCGTATAGTGCGCTTTTCAACGCTTTTTCAATTTTGAACGATTTATTAAACACGCTGAAAATTACGTGTGAAAAGACATGAAGCTTAAAATTTAAGTGAACATAATAAAAAATTGTTCAAAGAGAAAATAAAATTGTTAATGTTCCCAAAATTATTAAAAATAAAAAATAAGTGTATAACATTTTCATTGCAAAATCCAACGCTGTATATATGGTTGCATAATTTAAAAGCTACCCAAAAAAATATATAACAATAAAAATATTAAAAAATAAGTTATTTATAAGTTTATGTCTTAAAGTTGAATTTTTATGCAAAAAAAGAAGAAATTTGTTTATTCATTCAATAAAACTATAAAAACAAAAATCTGCTGAAGTTAAATAAACTTTAATACCAATTTACGAGCTACGAATGAAAAATCTGACATTAATTGAAACTGTGAAGTTGTTTACATTTGGCAATTAGATGCATAAACTGCAAAATGACGGGCACCTCATAAAACTTTAATTAACCGCTGTATTAACAGTGTATAAACCAGGAAATTTAATATGCTCATAAACGTCTTGTTCAACGTTGTAAATTACAAACTAGTGAAGCATAACATAGTAAACATTTATTTCTGTGTACAAGTACAATTTATAATGCATTGCAGCATAAAAGCGCACAATAATCATTTAGATTACATCTGTAGTAAAAGTGGAGGAAGCACTTTAGTCCAACGTCTCAATTTCTTCCAATTGTGCATCTGGTGGCCTAATCTAAATAGCCGCGCCGAGTTTGGCGCAGGAGTGAAATGCGTTTCGAGTTTCTGCTGAAGCGGCAGCTTCCGAAAAACACGTCAAACTTTTACTGTAATCGTACACCCGGCGTCGCAATGCTTTTAACATAATAAACGCATTAAAACACGGTAAATGTTTCACTAAAATAATTAAAGTACACATTTTGGATAAATACGCCGGTGTCTGTGCTTTCATCTCCAGTTTTTTAAAAACTTTTTTTTTTCGTTGGTCTGCGTATTGTGGTTGCAACAAATGTCAAACTATAAATTTACGTAGGTATAAGATAAAGTTACAAATGCACTGAAGAATTTCACTAAACTTTATTTGTACAAATTCTTACTCACATACCAAAGTAATAATAAAGACGCAGTGATACATAAATTATTAATTTTATACTTCACGTCTAACAGTATATTAAGTAACAAGTGGCTAAACGAGGGCATTACACGTCTTTAACAACGTTTAGCCACGAGGTGCTTTCGCTATTTTTTTACTTCCACTCTAGTTCCATGATGCGGTTTTTGTTTTTCAACTTTTCTTCGGTTTTGATTCGGTTCATATCGTGCCCTTCCGATACGAGTAGCAGCAGCGCCTACTTTGACGTGTTTGATTGACGTCGCATGGCATTTCATACCGCCTTGTGCTGCTCCGTAGGCAACTGCGCAGGCGCTTGCTCCGTCCCGTGCATCATGAAGGTACATAATGAATATTATGTACGGCTTGACCGTCCGTATATAAAGTACCACTTTTTGTGTCTAAAAACCGTGGAAAAACTGGCGCTTTATAGGTGGAAGTAGAAAAAGTTTATAAAGCAATTGTTGCAAGCACTAATTGCATTGTTCCTCCTCTAATTTATTTTTTTCTCCTTTCAGACATTATTACATGATGTGATTTGCAAATTGCCAATTTGCTGTCGCGCTGATTGGCTAGAGTCCGAGTAGCCGAGCATCATGTGATAATTAACCTGCACCTCTCTAGCTCGCCAGTCACCCCGTCACCTGCCCATCAGTTTCGACGAAGATGAGTTGGACTGCAGGGGTGGACGACCCCGCCAGCCCTTTGCGTTTTAACGCTACCGACAGCGGCGGCGGCATCTTCAGCTTGGCCAGCACCAGCCAACCGAGTGGGAACCACATTAACTCGTTTTACTTTTATAAGGTAATCTTATAATAATTTAATATTTCAGTTTTAAAATATTTACCGAGAAACTTTTGACCTAATTTTTGCTTAGTCGTGGCGTTTTAGTTCCACCCATCTAAGATTAAAATAAATTCGCGTGGAAGAATTGGGCTAAGTGCATAACAACGCACTTGTCTCGCGCTTATCTTCTACAACTCTGCACAATATTCCACCCTCGGAAGTGTCACACGCTCGTGCACGTCTTATTGCTTTTAATGTGAAGCTGGGTGTGACACGTAGCGGATAAAAATTGTGAGCGGATATCCTCGACAACAAAACAAAGACTTTATTCGCTGTATCACAATTTATTACCTCAATTTTTTATTTTTTGTTTTATTTTTTGCACTATGCTAATTTTTGTATATGACTGTCCTCCCCTGACCATTTAAATGATTGGGGGTGGTTTATGATTGATCGAATTAGGCGTCAATGTGACAAAACCGGAAGATGTCGTGTATGGAAATTTCGTCAATTTTTTGCGTCAGCCGAGCGCAAAAAGAGCACTTATTGCCATAAATCTAAGGGATGAATACGAAAAAAAAAGCACCACAAACGAAATAAATTCGCATTTGCCAATTCTCTCTTTTTGCAAACATTTGACAGTTATGGCTCTATAAAATCGACCACATCAGTTAATGCGCGTTTGCAAAATAAGCACAAATTTATTTCTGTCATGTCAGATCAACGTTATATACGCTGATTTTTATTGCGACCAGATGATGAACCCTCTGGTAAATATTTTTCGCGCAGCGTCGTAAAAATTCTATTTCTGCACAAAAAAATCATAAAAATTAAATTTTATTTTTAGCTTTCCTTTTTTAATTAATTAATTAATCATAATTAAACTACAGTGTTCAGTCGGGCGTGTTATCGTATTATCGGGTCAAATTCCACAAGCGCACGAGCTCCACTCGACCTTTCGATCAAGGGGTGCGAAACTTAACCGACAGGAAATTGAATTTGCAAGCATCTATTAAATTCGACCTTGAAGGACCTTTCTAAACATCTTTGGAGTTATGAATAAGGATTGAATTTACGTTTGATTTCTTGAGACATTTTTTTATTAATATTCTTCGTAATTGTAACTAAAAATATTATTTTGTGACTGCGTTGCTTTAGCAAAGTTTTCGGATATGGTTTTTTTTTTGCTTGTAGATTTTTTGCCCCTGTGTATCTTTTTCTCAACTCGCCTGTGTTTTTACCCCTGCTGCGCGGGATAATACCATGTCGAGCCAGACACGATGTCACCGACACCCGTCCGACGACGAACGCAAAGAAAGCGTCTTCTCCGCGGCGTCGAAAATGAAAAAAATCCGCATCAAAGCAGCAAAAAAGCGACATCGGCGCAGCGTGCGGCCGCGTGTTACACACATATCACGTATTCGCCCCTCGTTTATTATCTATTCGCGTTACGTGACGGCGCAGCGCGAGCACGACGTTGATTTTTATAAACTTTTTCTTCATTTCCAACGACAGCCGCGTGCACAAGACACCAAATTGTTATCAACGGCTTTTGTTTCATTTCGAACATTGCAAACCACATAACCAACAATTCAAAGCGCATTGTTTGACATCGTTATTAGTAGAAACTTTTTTCTTTAACTTTTAACGTTTCATTGTGTTCCTCCTCTAACTTTGTTGTTTGTGTGCTTTTTGTAAGATAATTTTGCGTTGTACGCTTTTTTGCGTGCGCTCGCTAATGTAATACTTAGAAAAGAGTGCGCGAAAGGTTTTACAATGGAAAATCTAATTTTCTCTTGACGTTGTGCTGTACGTGCGAGAATCTTGGAGTAATCCGAGGGTGGAAATTTTGTAGTGGAGTGTTATGACCTCCGAGGAGACTTAATTCCGTCGACTTCTCAACTCCTTAAGGATATTATTAACTAGAGAACGAAGTGAGCGACATCTATCCAATTATTTATACCATGCTTTGCTAGAACATTGAAAAAATTTAAATTTTAGAACTGATTTTGCAAAATATTATGATTATGGTGCTAGTTTTTAATATTCAGTTGTAAATTAAATTAACAATAATTATATTATGAAAATATTTTCAGTATTTGTTATTATTATACTCATACTCAAAATATGTAACAAATTTTAATAAAATTATATTAATGTTTCCAAAAATAAACAAGTAGATACGTCAAAATTGCTTTATATTTTAAATTACACTCATATTTGAGTAGGTCTTTAATTAATATTAAAATTTTACATTTTTAATTTAAATAATCCGGAAGTTGGACGGGCTTTCAGGGCAACGGTAGTAGCGCCAGTATTTTAATTTTCATTTTGTCTTAAATTCGGGTTTTCAAAAACTGATATTTTAAGGATATAATGCGGTGCAGTTAACATTTTCATAGATATTCCAATTTTATGGAAAACAGTTTTTATGTGAATAAAATCAAAAACTATTGTATGATATTTTACCAAAAGAGAGCAATTTGGAAATCGTGTCAATTTACTCATTACAGCAAAAAAAAAACCCGCCAAACAAATTTAACTTTGACTCACTAGTCCTCGAGATAAATTGGATTCAATATAACAATACGTTTTGTATTGAGTAAGCTTTTTTGGTTAAATTCGTTGCAATCTTTTTAAAATAAAATACAAAATGCTGTTTTCAATAAAACGGGAATTTCTACCAAAATATTCAACAAAAAGAATCAATATACTGTGGAACAGTGAAATTAACGCTTCATCTACTCTTAATGAACAAAACTGTTGTAAAATATTTTCTGCACTTTAAATAATGGATGTTTCTCCTGCGGCTCTCTTAAATATTAACAACGTGAAATTATCAAAAGCCATTTTAATAAAATAACAAAGGGGAGAACCAATAATTTTGTTAATTTACCAGTTAGATCGTAGAAAAGTAACTTTTATGGTAATTTGTACAACGAGAATATACTGTGGAACAGTGAAATTAACGCTTCATCTACTCTTAATGAACAAAACTGTTGTAAAATATTTTCTGCACTTTAATAATTAACGTTGCTAAACCTTTAATAATGGATGTTTCTCCTGCGGCTCTCTTAAATATTAACAACGTGAAATTATCAAAAGCCATTTTAATAAAATAACTGTTTAAAACAAGCAAATATATTTTGTCATCTAAAAGCTTTTATTCGTAATGCGTGCTGTATTATCTTCTTCATGTCTTGCAAACTCGAGCAAAAAAATAAACAACAACACGGCGACGTTTAAAGTATCACATTTCTTACCGAGAATAATCATTAAATTAAATTTGCAAAATGTAAAATGTAAAACGATTAGCGGTTATTACACGCTCACATAATGGACGTTAATTTTGCGGCGCGGCTCGGTGGTGCGTTGTCAATAAAATTATTCACGGCTCGGTTGTTTTGATACATCGGCGGCAATGTGACGCGTAATTGACTCCGAAAGAGATCTAAAACCGGCGCGCCGACACTTCAAAGACGGACACGCGTTTTAATGCTAATTTTATGAGAAATATTCGTTGCAGTTACGCTCCAATATTTGACAAATTACAACCGCACTATAAATATCAACTAATTTTTCGTCGATAAAATTATTTTTCATATCCAACACTTCGTTAGACACAGCTGCATGTGCGCACGTCGTACGTGTAATTACAAACGAGATTAATGATAATTGCCAGCAACAAATGCTCCGAATTATTCAGAGAGCGGAATTTATTACACGTTCGGATTTCTCGTCTCTTCCAGCGATCTGGATGCGTTAACGATCATATAAATAGTGTCTGCTCGTCGCCGCAAACGGAAGGCGGCAATTATCCACGTGCATTCTTCAAAAACTCATCCACGGCGTAGATTTTCTTTTATTCATGAATGTGTAGTTATACCATGTGTAACATATAAATATCTTAGAGTGTTGTTTGTCTGGGGTTGAATTTTCTTATTGGAGCACCATATATATTGAATTAAATCACACATCACGTTGCCCATATTTGCAGTGGAGCGAAACAAAAATGATCCTCATAAATGTGCGCTCACTGAAAACCAGTCTCGAGCGAATCGCTGGTGTGAAAATATTTTCATTACGATTGCAAACGATCAATCTACAATTAGCACCGTAAACGCATCAATATATTGCTCAAGCATATTAGTTTTATTAGTACATTAGCTTTAATAAAAACTATTAAAAACATTTTAAATTAAGTAAAAATAATAATCTATAATATAAAAATAAATCGCAAAATCTGTTTGTAAGCGTATAACTCAAGAACGCCCGGTTCAATTTGGCCAATTATTTCTTTATAATGTTCGTTTAAGTCCACGGATGGTTATTACGGCGAGAAAAAATCGAATAATTGCCGGGAAAACCCTCAAAACGGTCATTTTCTATAGGATAAAAGTAGGCATTGCGATTCAATCATAGTTATAGTTAAATAGTTAAATCCGAGATGGCACGCTGAAGTGCATTATTAGCTATTCTTTATAAAATTAATTTCTTTAAAATAAAATTGCAAATCTTATTGATAGAATTGTCACATACTATGTCTAGAACAAGAGAGTCAAAACGAATTACATTTTTATTAAACACTACCGGGACGAAGTCGCGGGCAAAAACTAGTACCTACTAAATATAATAAGTAAAATTAATAAGAATATCCGACACACATAACTCCTTCTTTTCTTACTACCACTTCATATGGGTTATCCGCAGATATAAAAGCGCAGTATGTTGACACCACACTGATTAGTCATGTCTGAGTCGACAAGTAGTGCAGATTACAGCTTTCAAGGATCCTCTCATCATCCAATCAAATGTTTACGAATAAATATACACATTGGCAGTACAAAAGTAAACAAAGCATTAATAATAAAATTCCACCTGTCTTCCAACAATTGCTCCTCCTTAATTTACCATGTCACGCATAAATAGAAAACAACGTCACAAAGGCAGAAGCAGAAACGATAAATAATGTCTTGTAGATGAATCCAAGCCGCTCCAGATAGTTGTTCTTTATCAAAATAAAGATTCCTAGATATTAGATATACGCACGAAGGTCATGCTCAAGGTCATCAACATCCACCGATGATATTCATGTGGCAATAATTCTGCCTTTATCTTCAATTTGAAGGCAATCGCAGCAATATTCATCGATTCGCATGAAAGCAGCCCCTAAATATAAAAAAAGCTCGAAATGAATGCGTCATGAGCACGAATAATATACACTGAAAAAAACCAACGCGCGTCGTAGATAACAACGATGTATTTATAGTATTTCGCAGCGATAAGCTGAATCGCGAATTGAGTCGACTACTAAACGGACTAAATCATTCCGGCATTCCGGCATTTCGGCCGACAACTATGCGCAGGATATCTAAATGTGCGTCGGCGTTTCCGCACCGCAGACATTCGCAGTGTTCGCATTAGCCGCGAGTGTAATCCGATATCTATGCGTAGGGCGTAGAAAGGAGCGAAAAGCGACAAAACAAAGTTTCGAGAGGCAAAACTGCCAAAAGCCAAAGCCGCGCAAAGGACCCAAAACCCTGACAAGTCAAGTTCAACATTTCAATTTTCACTGTTTGTACTCCAGCAGTATTGAAGTTAGAATGAAGGAGTTTAAACCCACAGAATAGTCAATGAAGCATCATTAGCAAGAGAATTTAAGGGTGAATAAATTGTGTTTTAATTACAAACACTCTATTTGCATTACTAAATCTATAATATAAAAATGAATCGCCAAATCTGTTGGTAAGCGCATAACTCAACAACGCCAAAACCAATTTGGCCAATTCTTTTTTAAAATGTTCATTAATGTCCAAGGGTGGTTTTTACGGCGAGAAAAATTTGAATAATTGCCGAAAAAACCCTAAAGACAGCTCTTTTCTATAAGATAAAAGTTGGCATTGAGATTCAATCATTATAGTTAAATAGTTGAATCCGAGATGGCGTTGAAGTGCATTACTAGCAATTCTTTATATAATTATAATTAATTTCTTTATAAAATTGCGAATTGTATTGATAGAATTGACACATACTATGTCTAGAACAAGTGAGTAAAAACGAATTACATTTTTATTAAACACTACCGAGCCAAAGTCGCGGGCAAAAGCTAGTAAATGAATAAAAAATTGTAAATTTTAAATTGTCATTTTAAATCCGTCTACATAGTCCGCTTTTAGATTGCACTCTCAAATGCACATCTCAAGGGAGATATGTTGAGTCTTTATTGCAAAATCGAATCGTAGAACTGCACCATTTGACCATTCGACTAGATTCACCAGATTTGTCCAGCACACTCAACTTGATGCGTTGCAATCTACATGATCCCCCATTGCAATCTTTCCACTCCTACACCAAATTGTCCACCATGGTCCAGCTGCATGTAATAGAAGCAGATTTCATTGCTGTCGCCAGCAGTCAAGTGTTGTCAAGTCAAGAAGATTTAATCACAGATTAGAAAGTTATAATCGAAATGATGGTGAACAACGAAATATGTCTGACTGTCCTAGACATTCAACCGAGTATAATATTCTCATCATATTTATCGCTTGCGTTTAATTTAGGTACTTGTTGATTCGCCCACCCGCAAATTATGTTTGCGTCTTGCGTCATACACTCAGGGGGTGATTTTTTGCGCGTCTACGAATTTCTTCACAATTCCAAAATTATGTAATTGGTTCTGAATAACTTGCCAATTAAAACTAAAACAGACAAATGTACTCGTAATAAGTATAAGTAAATCAGAAATAGCGAATATTTCCGCTTTTACTTTGGCTCTTTTTAAGACTAATTTCTAAATAGTTGAATAGTTCACGTTGGATACACGTTGAATCTTTGATTTCCACAAATGCAATTGCATTTAAAGGGATGAAAATCAAGTTGTCACGGTTGAATTTTCCCAAAAAGCCGAAAGCAGCTTTCCACATATTGTGCCACACTTTATTCCCTCACATCTATCGCATTACATGCGCCGCATGGCACCGAAACGCATTCTACCCGAAACAACCCCTTACTTACTCCCGTGTTGCCCTGTGTAGCCGGAAGCTGCGTGTGCGCGCCCGAATCATTCCATTAGGTCTTTGCCACACACACAGCATGTAGCACTTCCCCCTTGAATCCCTTGCATCCTTGCTAAATGTTCGGGTTTTCACCCTCTACGTCTCACAATCCCCGCGCGCGCTGATAATCAAGCGTCCACCGCATTTGAACGCGAACAATGCACGCCAGCGTTAACGCAAATTTATTTACGTGTGGATGTAATCATGGCATTAATTATGTTGAAACGCTCGCCACGCACAACATTATACACACGTGTGTACTTACGACTGTCGAAGGAAATCGTTAAAACACTGTAAACACGAACGCAATTTCGAATCTAATCCATCTTCATTTTTATTAAATTTATTTTATTTTTCCTGCCGGGTACATTTCAAGGTTGTGCTCATCCAGCCACACAAAGAAAACTTTTCATATGTGACATGAAAGCAGAGCGGAGAGCGCAAAGTGGAATTAGGAAATGAAAGACATTTTTACCATGTTCAGCAGGAAAAAATGCTGGTTCGGAAACTGTCAAAAACAAAAACATGCGTGTGCAGTCAAGCAGAACACTGAGGACAACTCGAGTGACCCATGACCTCTTGTTGTTAAGATTTCCGCGTTTTATTTCCGTTACTTTACTGCGAATGAATCAAATTGAGCGCGAAAAATTGGGAACACGGAAGGTACAGGATAATTTTTTGTCCGTTTCTTCATGCGTCAAAGCTCTAAATTCTAAAATCACAGAGTTTTGAATTGTGACTGAAAGAAAAGAGAATTTTAAGTAGAATTTCTGTTTGCACAACACAAATACTTACAGTTAAGCATCATTTTTGTCGCGATTAAAAGCAAATTGCAAGAAGAAAAAAAAAACAAAAAAATTTCAATGGTATAGCAAATTACATAAATATTCTGTATGTTATTTTTTTGCTTTTAAGCACTCAAAGCTAACTGAAGCAGCTTAAAGACCAAAGTTAATTCAAAAACAAACAAAAATAAATGCTTTGTTTTTCTTTGCAGACTGAACAATTTACCGTACTTTGGGTACTCTTCACAATGATCGTCCTGGGTAACTCTGCAGTCCTAGTGACGCTGTTAGTAAGCAAAAGTCGCAAATCACGAATGAATTTCTTCATTCGCCAGCTGGCAATCGCAGGTAACCAATACTAATACAATTAATGTAAGTCGTACTTAATTTACTAAGAAACCCATAGATCTCGCCGTTGGATTGATTAACGTCTCAACGGATATCGTGTGGCGTATCACAGTTGCTTGGCACGCTGGCAACATCCTCTGCAAGCTCATTCGCTTCCTGCAGGCGGTCGTCACCTATTCGTCCACCTACGTGCTCGTCGCGCTCTCCATCGATCGCTACGATGCCATCACGCACCCGATGAATTTCTCCGGCAGTTGTAAGAAACACCCCATTAAGTTAATGTATTTATATCTTGCGGTTGCGCCTGAACGAATTGCAACTCGCGCTCGTCCCATTAACCCATCTAGCTGATAAAATTTAATTTAAATTACTGCCTTACTAAACTTGTTGCGAAATGATTCCGCAGGGAAACGAGCAAAGTTTCTCGTCGTCATCGCTTGGCTGCTGAGCTTCGTCTTCTCACTGCCGACGTTTTTTCTCTTCGAGGAGAAACCCATCGAAGGTAAATAGTATTTTTATGCGACTTGCGCGACTTAAAACTTATTGTTTTATTTGTGTACGGTGAGGGGGCGGTTGTGATGAGTGGATGTTGACGGCAAACCGCGTGAGACGGTGCTCGTAAAATCGAAAGTTTCCACGGCGGCGGCGCTTTCAGTTTTGTTTTACGATCGCCTTTTCGACTTTTATTGTTACTTTGCGCGCATTACAATGCATTATGTCATTGAATTAGTAATTTATGACCGCGACTTTTTCATCTTTCGTGTTATTGTCCTAGAAAGCGCAAGTTTAATTTTTGTCAAGTCATGGTTTGCACATGAAATATCCTAGATGATTTTGCAGGCAGTTTCAAAGTTATGTTTAATACTTAATGCTTTATAATGAAATAAAAAGAACATTTGCAGATATTAGATTAAAAAGAATACCACTAACAAATGATTAGCTTAACTTACAGTTTGTATTTGTTATTACTTTTTACCCAAAAACTCAATTATAAAGTGGACAAAAACAAACGCAAAATTAAACAGAGGGTTACTTAACTCGTGTGCGCAGGGTTTTTGTCACTTCAGAACTTTACGCTAATTTTATGAGCGCTTTTGGCACGTTTGCGCGTTTTCGCTTTCCCCGCTGGAGAAAAATGCTATGTAGGTTGCCCGAAGAAATTAGGAACGAAAGCGGAAGTTTATGGCTGTCGCCGCTGTCACGTGCAGCGCGGGAATTTACAAATCGTTGAATTATTCCCCAGTGCTTAAGTTTTATTTTTATTTATTTTTCTCTCCTAAAACGTTTCAGTTTACATTTTGTTTCGTGCGGTGCGACAGTTAATTATAAAGTTTGCGTGTCTATGATTTATGTATTATCGTAATTGTGCGTTGACGCGTTCATTGCGCGAAATGCTCACGTTTCATGCAATAACTCAATATCAACTTCGTGTTGCAACACGAGACTTCATCTATTTTAGTTTGGAAAAAAATCGTATAATAACAAAACCAAGTCTAGTTACTGTTAGTTTTAACACTAGTTAAAAATAACAGTTTATAAATAGTAGAGATAAATTACAAACGTGCTTGTTTTACTATTGAATTATTTCTAAATTAAATTACCAATAATATCAATTCAATTATTCAATTAAAAACTAATTTATGGGAAAATATTTTTTTAATTTCTGGTAAAACAGAAAATAACAAGCTTTAGAAAATCAGATGCTTTATTATTATTGCAAAGATTTTAATTATTATTTTTGGTGGCTTTGGGAATAATAATAAAATTAACTAGACGATATCTTGACTTATGTTGAAACCGTCACCACAATCAAGTCTTAGTCACTCCAAGCGACAGAAAGCAAGAAAATAAAAAGGTCCGAACAGCTTCCGTTGCGATTACTCATAGTGTCAGATTGTCCCCGGCTACTGGTGCCTTGTTCATCCCCGCAGTTCGTTGCCCTGACGTCAGTAAGTCCGGGGACGATCTGCGACAAGATAAAAAGGATGTCCATAACTCCGGAAAGGACTACGACAACGAGCTGGAACCGAAACTGTCCCCGCGGCAATAAGTAACGGCGAGTGAGTACGGCGGGCGCTGGGATGAGGGCGTACAAACCATAACCTACGACGCGGATTCTTGCATTTTGCTTCCGCGTTGTGCACACAGACACAAAGTGTGAACCCGAACGGCGAACGTTTGCGCGCTGTTTCGTCGCACATAATTCGCGAGCGCCAACTTTAATTGCCGCGCTTTGAATGCGCATTCTGCATTCGCGATGTTTTACAGGGGTTGCGCGGGGGTGGCAGTCGGGAGATAATTGCTTACAAGCGCCATTTAAGCGAGTTTGCTTTTCTGCGTGCACTGGATTAAAATTACAAAATGGCGGGCGCTCTCACCGTATCGTTATTACATCTCGGCGCTCAAATATTTACTACCACGCTATAAATTGAGCTATTTAGAGATAAATGCATCGCGCGTACACTGCAGAGGAATTTTAATTAGGTCGATTTAAGTTAGTAACTTAGATATTCGTGTTTTTATGGGGTAAAATGGTTCAAGTCGTGATTAAAGTGCATTAATAAACATAAATTGTTGTAATTATTTTAGATTTAAAATCTTGTAACTCTAAACTTGCACAATTTTAAAAATTTCTTCCATATTATTCTGTTTTCATTTTCTAGGATTACCCCAATGCTGGATCGACCTAAAACCATGGCAGTGGCGCGTTTACATGACCGTAGTATCTTTAATTCTCTTCGTCATACCTGCCCTAATAATCAGCGCCTGCTACGCGGTCATCGTATGGACCATTTGGTCAAAAAGTAAACTTTTAATACCAGTTGGACATGTTCCCATCAGAAGTAAGCCTGAAAGCCCAAGGAATTGCCAACAATAAAATACAAAGATAAAATTACAGGTGATGAACATAGAACGCACCCACCTCGTTTCCAAGATGATCACGACTGTCGTCGTGCAAGCTCACGGGGGATCATACCACGCGCGAAAATCAAGACTGTAAAGATGACATTTGTTATAGTCTTTGGTAAGTAGAAACTTATCTAATCGTGAATTCCACAGGCGCATAACTCTCACAAATTCGAAATTTCAGTCTTCGTGCTGTGCTGGAGTCCGTACATCGTCTTCGATCTGCTGCAGGTGTACGACTACATTCCAGAAACGCAGACGAACATTGCCATTGCCACTTTCATTCAGAGTCTCGCGCCCTTGAATTCCGCAGCGAATCCAGTGATTTACTGTCTGTTTTCGACACATTTATGTCGTAACTTGAGGTAGGTGTAACTAAATTCAAAATTGCGATAAAAAACTTTTGAAAATTTTGTTTAGGAAATTACCACCGTTTTCCTGGATGTCCGGTTGTTTAACTCTGTGTTTTCCTGGCGTGCATGGCCAATGTTTCGGTTACGGCAGTGGTGATTCCACCGGTACTGTAACTACCTCTTTGACGCACTCTTCAAGACGCTCGGCGTCGGCAGCATCCTTAAGACACACGATTCGTTTACAACCGGCGCTTCATAATAGTCACAAAGTCGCAATGTCCGTCGTCTAGTCAGATAATTTTATTAAGAGTATTACTTCACTATAGGCAATCAAACATACACCTACAAATAACTTTTTGTGTAAAAAGTATGGAACAAAATTATCTATTTTAATTTAATATTTATTTTGCAAATTAAAGTTACAATTATTTGTTACTACGTTTGAAAATGTACAGATTGGTGCAAACATTTAGGTTCTACAATCAAAACAGATCAGATGTATTGTGGGTTGCCTATAAGAAGTTAAAAGCTAACATAAATTTAAATGAATTTAAGAAATAAACATAAAATAAAGGAACATGAGTGTGCCTGATTTATGGTGTACATAATTATCTGCTTAAAACAGTATAGTATTATATCGAGTAATAAAAGTAAGTAATTATTATGTTGTATGTAATTATTTTTATAATTGTTAAATAGATGTTGAATATTGTAAAAATGTTTTACGAATGATGTGGCTCAATGTAACGTCGTTATTTTCTACAATGTAAAATTTCTCGCATTTTTGTTGCGTCCTCGCAATATATAAACAAGTCCATTATTACTAAACACGTTGTTATTGTATTTATTGTCACTATACAATAATTCTATTTAATAATATTGTAACGATGTACAAATTATTGTTTATAACTATTTATACAAATAAGAAGACGTAAAACTAAACCAAGGGACCATTGGCTGGAGTGTGATGATGAGACTGCTTATTATATTTTGGTACGAAAACAGAATTGGGAAATATAAGTGAAGGTAAATAGAGAGAACGTAAGAAAAAAAATCTATTTATGAGACATGGAAAGGGTGTAGCCAATGTGGACCTCTTTGTGATAGCATTTAGACACTGACTTTATACAATATTTAACAATGTAAGACTTAAACACACATATAAACGAACAAAACATCAATCAAAAACTATACTTGCTGTAATAACTACCAATATAGAAAATTGTTTTTTTTTTTCTTAAACTAAATTTAACTGAAATTAAAATTTCTACTCCACATTTACAATAGTAATAATTAAATTCATTAAGAACTATAACGTTTCTTTTAACGCTGTTAATTATCAACAAAATGTTCAAACAAAAAATATATTAAACTCACAGATGAATCAAATTAGCCAAAAATTCTGTTGTTTTAAAAATATTATTAAATTTAATACTATTTTGATTTTTACAAATTATTATTGTACGATACATTTGTTGTTAATAATTAACTGGTTCATGGACACAATATATTGTAATAAATCATCTCATTTTTATCACAAAATCACAAATTGTAATGAAAGGAGAACGAAAACCCGTGTGAAAACATAAATGTTTATTTGATGGATAATTTGTCTTGCTGTATTGAAAGTAAAATAAATAGTTGCATCCAATCAACTCTTTGTATAGTTCAATTAACAAAAATATTATTACATCACAAAGGTGTGCTTGTTTGTTGTTGATGTTGGGTGAATGAACAAAATAAAAAATGCTGTTTATATATATGCAACCAACTATACAACATAAATTATTTAATAATTGATAAAGTTCTTCTATATCGGAATGTGATCAAGTTAAATAAACAATAACAAATAGAATTACAAGCAATGTGATAATCATGCCTCCAAACATTATAATCTTGTCCTGGCCAGCCCTCTTATCAATCAAAGTCATTACATGTCTGCTCAAGCCTAGTGTGCTTGTCATGTCCATGATTCTTTTCTTGGCCCCTTTGAGAATACTTCTCTGAGATCTTAAGGATTCCAAAGTGCTGGCACCAGTATGTAACATTTCATCAACCCCTCTGTGTGATCTTAGCATTGCATTATTGTGTTGTAGGCCATAATCTAGATCAATCATAGTTGATTCCTGATTTGCTCTAAATCTAGTGCTTAATAATTGTTCTCTTTCTGCAGCTGCATTCTCCTGGCGTTGTCTTTTCTGCTGGGCAGCTGCTAGAGCAGCCTGTAAATGTCTGCTGTCATATTTCAGTTGATCGCACCTCATTTTTGCATGTGGGCGTTGTGTTACAGGCACTTTTAAAACAAAAATATCTAATTTTTCACAATTTCTAAAACGCATCGGTTGTGTGACAATTTTAGCATAATTCATAAGAATTTACTCACTTATTTATGGAGTTTATTGAATTTTGTATTGCATCTTCAATTGTGGGTCTATTTGGATGGTTACCTTCTAGCTCTTTAAACTGTTCTTTGGTCTGCTGTATCAGCGCATTAGTTTGGTGGTATAGAGGCTCCATATTTTAATTTAATAATATAAAAACTAGTATAAACTTTAGTAGAGTTTAAAAGTGTGTAACCTATAAGAATTGGGGTTTTTTGACAACGTCGACAACAAATTGACTCATGAAATGACGCATAATTGGTTGCAGATAGTAAACTTGTAGACCTACATACGTGTAAGTCACTGATCTATCGGCAACCAAACGTACCTTTAGAGGTTAGTATTTGTGCTGCGATCGGATGCGGTTGTTTAACGTTCGCGTTGTGTTTGGATTACTAGCACAAGTTATTAACTTTTATTTACATACATTAGAATTTAAACTCTATGCGTGAATAAACAAAGGGAAAAATAAGTTGATGAACCAAATACACAATTAATGTTGTTTAAAAGCAATCAAATTATTAAAAATCACGAGTGTTTAATAATTGGAGGTTATATTTTCGAGTATAATGGGTGAATCTGAACCAGAAATTGTCGAAAAAAGAAGCACGAAGCGCAGTAAACGCTCACCAGTTGCGGACCGGAAAAAATCCCGGCGCGATGATTCCCCAGACGACAGAAAAACCAGCCGCCGTCGTCGATCTGCATCCTCAGATTATGATAAAAGTAGAAAACGCTCACGTAGAAGATACCATGATCTGGACAAGCCAGAAGAGGAATACTCGCGATATTATGGTGAGGATAAACGGGAAAATAATGATCGGTACTGGAGTAAATACCCGAAGCGGGATGAAAATGTTATTGGCTCAAGATATTATGATGTGGATAAGGAGAGAGATGAGTCTAAAGAAAGGGAAAAAGTGAAAGATCCTGAAGTGATCACACCTAAACAAAGAAAAACTGTTGATTTATTAACATCGAAAACCGGCGGTGCGTACATCCCGCCCGCGAAGTTGCGAATGATGCAAGCAGAGATCACAGATAAGTCATCAGCAGCATATCAAAGAATAGCTTGGGAAGCACTCAAGAAATCTATTCATGGTCACATTAATAAAATCAATACATCTAACATCAAAATTATATCATATGAATTATTGCATGAAAATATTGTTAGGGGTAGAGGTTTACTCAGTAAATCAATCATTCAAGCACAAGCTGCTTCACCAACATTCACCAATGTTTATGCAGCTCTAGTGGCTGTGATCAATTCTAAATTTCCCAACATTGGCGAGTTGCTTTTAAAACGTTTGGTATTACAATTCAAACGTGGATTCAAACAAAACAACAAAGTTACGTGTATTTCTGCGGCGACTTTTATTGCGCATTTGGTTAATCAACGCGTTGCGCATGAAATTCTCGCATTAGAAATATTGACCTTATTAGTTGAATCACCTACAGATGATTCAGTTGAAGTGGCAATTGCTTTCTTAAAAGAATGCGGTCAAAAATTAACTGAAGTATCCAGTAAAGGTATCAATGCCATTTTTGAAATGCTGAGGAATATTCTGCATGAAGGTCAACTAGAAAAACGCATTCAATATATGATTGAAGTAATGTTCCAAGTCCGAAAGGACGGATTTAAGGATCACGCCGCCATCACTGAAGAACTCGACATTGTTGAAGAGGAAGATCAGTTCACGCATTTAATTACTTTAGAAGATGTTAAACAAAATAATTCGGAAGATGTTCTAAATGTGTTTAAATTTGATGACAAATATGAAGAGAACGAAGGAAAGTACAAAGCTCTCAGCAAGGAAATTCTTGATTCGGACTCTGATAGTGATTCAAGTGACGGTGAGTCTGGCTCTGAGGATGATGATGAAGACGAGGATGAGGAAGATGAAGATAAACCTAAACAAGATTTAATTATTGATAATACCGAGACGAATTTAATTGCTTTGAGGCGGACGATTTACTTGACTATTCAATCCAGTTTGGATTTTGAGGAATGCGCGCATAAATTGATGAAAATGGAGTTGAAACCTGGGCAGGAGATTGAATTATGCCATATGTTCCTAGGTCAGTGTACATTCAAGCGAAAGTTAATCATTAAATGGTAGTATAACCATTAAATTTGCTTTTTTTTCTATTGTAGATTGTTGTGCTGAACAAAGAACTTATGAGAAGTTCTATGGACTACTCGCCCAACGTTTCTGTCAAATTAACAAGGTGTATGTAGCGCCTTTTGAGCAGATTTTTCGAGATACCTATGCAACTACTCATCGTTTGGATGCGAATCGTTTGCGAAATGTGAGCAAGTTCTTTGCGCATTTATTGTTCACTGATGCCATCGGTTGGGAGGCTTTGAATATTATTCAACTGAATGAAGCCGACACTAACAGTTCAAGCCGTATTTTTATTAAGATACTCTTTCAAGAGTTGGCTGAGTATATGGGACTTGGAAAATTAAATGCGAGAGTCAAAGATGTTACAATGCAAGAGTCTTTCAGTGGTTTGTTCCCGCGAGATAATCCAAAGAATACGCGTTTTGCGATTAATTTCTTTACGACCATTGGTTTGGGTGGTCTGACCGACGAGCTCAGAGAACATTTAACGTCAATGCCAAAAGTAACTGAGGTGCCTACCGTTCAGGTTTCATCATCATCCAGTAGCAGTAGCAGTAGTAGCAGTTCAAGTTCAAGTTCCAGCTCGGATTCCAGCTCTGAGTCTGAAGAAGAAAAATCTCGAAAGAAGGATAAACGTAAAATTAAAACTAAAACCAGGACTAAAAAAAGTCCTGAAAAGGTACAAGAGAAAAGTGACAGAAGTGAGAGAAATAATAAGAAAGTAGACGATTCTCGAAGAAGGGATGATGACCGCAATAGAAGGGATGATGTCCGGAGCAAGAGGAATGAAGATCGTGGACGGCACAGCAGACGAGATCATGAAGAAAAAAGTCGAAGACACGGAAGGCGCAGTTAATTTCTATTTCAATTTAAGATTAATTATGAAGTTTTATGTTTGGAAGCATGTGTCTTCCTCTTCTGGTTTGATTGTAATAGGCGCGGCTTGTTGCATAAGTGACCTGAAAGTATCAACGCTTACGTTCGTATTTCCATCGATTTTCATGCCAATATTCCATAAGGCATCGAATGTGTCGTCGGGAAATTGAAAACCTAAGCGTTCGAATAGTTTTCGAACGTATTCCGGTTTGCGTGGCTAAAATTGAAGCCGATTATAAAAACTATGATGAATTCGTACAATAAATATTACTGCTAATAAGTCCATGTGTGATAATCCGTAGTTGGTTAATATGCTGGGATTAACCAGAATTTCCACATTTGTTTCAAGCCCTAAGTTTTCGCGATTTACCCTAGTACATGGCGGGTGCAATCCTTGTCCAGCTGGAGGATCATCTACAAATATCATGTTTTTAAAAACAGTTAGTGAGGTAACAGTTTGTGAGTATGTACTAACTTGAATTGTCTTGGTATGGAGCCATGCAGTGTTCGTATTGTGCTGTTGTGATAAACTCGTCGGGTTTGTTATCATCTAAAATTTGATTTACACATTCAAATATTATCTCAGTAATTATTTATTAGTTCAATATTCACTAATTCCGTGTATCAATTCTTTCAGAATTTATAAAAGATTGATTTTCGTGAAAAGAATTATAAATTATAAAATTATTACTTGTTACAAAATCTGATTTCAATTAGGGAGCGCATTGAGACAGAATTTAATACAGAATTGATTTTGGACCAAATAACTTCTTTACTATTAATTTTCCTTCAGACACTTGTATTTTTAATGATTAAATAGAAAAATAAAAATATTTTTATACATTTACCTTCAAAATCTTTCAATTCGGGTAATTTAATCTTACAATTTAACAAATTAAGCATTTCCTCGTATTGAACTTGTTCGTTATTATAAATGCCGAAGCAAGCAGCTAACGGTAGAATATCATTATGCGGAAATGACTGGTGATTATCCAACAGGATACGTTGAAACACTTGAATGTCCAACCATTTTGTATCGTTTATATCAGCATACTTGCAATAACCATACAGTTCTCTAAAGTTGACATTTCTCTTATGAAACGTGTTGCGAACATCGTGCAGCGCGCTCAACCACGAATAGAAATCTTTTCGAAATAGGGAAGTTTTTCGATTCGGATGAAGTAAATCTGCTAGCGAGTGCAATGGCCGATTGCTTTTCTTTCCAAAGCGATGATTGGCATCCACACAATCGATATTATTATTACTGGAGGTGATTACATGATGAAAAGCAAGTTTTAAAGATCATTTCTGCAATAGTTTTACGATACATACGGCGTACGCGTTTTTCCAAGCCGAAAATGCGTTCGGTCGATGTAATCAGCGAGAATTTTATTTGCCACTTCTAGTGGTTTATCTTCCATTAATTTTATGGAACACAATGCACTCGCTTTGCGCCTCGGCAGACTTCCATACCGTAGAGTTTTATCAAACGGTGGCCCGTATCTTAAAATCAACTCAGATAACTAAACAAGAATGAACTAAAACGTAAGTTTTTACTCGCGATTAACTTGTTCTCCTTGAAAATAATCATTATGTGTTGCCGTATACATCTTATGATACTCAGCATCATTGAAAGCGAGCTCGTAGGGTGTTACGTTTGGCGGATTAAGCAATTCCTCCAAATTTGGTTTATCTCTTCGCGATGGCGCACCAAATATGAAATCTTTGTCGATTTTTGTAGGAATTGCACCTATAGGATCGCTGGTTCTGCCTAACTCTTTAGTCCAATAGGATTTCCATACGGTTTCCTGTAGATCTTTTTGAAGGGTTCTATATCGTGTATCCACTGGGGGGTTTAATACTTTCTGCGTGTTTGTGTAAATGCCAACATGTCGCCAGTTTTTCAATCGTTGAACAGGAGATGGTACCGGGACTTTGTGTAGGCCTGCTTCGGTGAGAACTGTTACAATGGCATCATCGACTGGATAAACTTTTAGGCAATCGGAAAGTTTGTCGCATTTTTTTAGCGGTGCACCTGCCTAACAATAATTCAGTTACACGAAAATGCAAAAATATATAAATACATGCCAAATTATTACATATGGAATTAAATAGCGAATCCATAATTGTAATAAAAATTGTTCAAGGTAGAAGTAGTTTGAATAATTAAATTATAATAGATAAGTAAATTGGTTTTACGCTATTATAGATGTAAGGATATATATACTGCTCTGATATTTGGAGAACGATCCACAAATTTGCCTTGATATCTCCACTCCATTGTGAAAGGTGGATTTTTAGTAAAATATGTGCAATTTCTTTAAAGTAAAATATCTGAAATGCAAAACAAAGTTAAAAGACATTTCGTGACGTTTGAATGGTTTGAAATGTGCGCATGTCACGTGCTAGTGTCATGGTTATTGCAAACTTGTTTTTCAATCGTAATCATACAACTTTCTGCATAATTACGCTCGATTAGAAGTCGTAGCGTCTTCGTTTACTCCTCGATGATTATAAAGTCATATATAACTGTTAATATGTGGCATTCTACAATCGAATTAAATGCTCGTGCTACGTTGACATGTGTCTCAATAAAATTATCAAGCCTTTGTCAACACTACTTAGCAATGTTTAACGCGGCATTGTTAAGTATTCATCGTTGATATATGTTTAAGTAGAAAGGAATATTTTTTAAGTTGCAAAATATCATAAGATGCGTCAGCAGGTTTGAATAGTTGTTCAATCCAACTTGTGCGGGTCGGCTTGGCAACACTGGCGTTACTGCAAACTGTCAAAGGAAATCAGTCACACAATCTGATCTGTCACTTTGGCCCTGAATTTTAATCGTTTTACATTCGTGCGATTGGTGCTGAACTCGCGAAATCACAACAGTTTCGCGACGAATTGTAGCTTTTCTATGTGCATTCAATCGAAGACAGTGTCGATTACGCAGTGAGCACGAGATTGGATTGCCTGGCGACGCGACGCAACAAAGTAAGGTAGGTTAGGCGGTGGGTTTGGGTTGTAAAGCAATTGTTTTTTTCGTCATGTCAAGTGCGTCATGCTCATCTCGTTGCGAACGTTGTGAAAGCGGTGTATTCGCGCAAAGGGGCCGCTACGCTATCGTTTCGAACCTGTTGACTTACTGTCGCCCATATTGTAAGAAATCTAAGCGCCGCTGAACAAAAGAAAAACCGAAATAACGCCCCCTTAATTAGACATAATTCAATTTGGTCACTGCCTACAATATGATTGAATGATTGTGTGACTAATACAGCCTAGTTTGTTTATTCTTTTTTTTTCCTTTTTGTTGTAGACTATGACAACCAGAACAGCGACCGCGCAGCGCCCCAATGGCCAGACTCAGGGCAAAATCTGTCAATTCAAACTCGTGTTGCTCGGCGAGTCGGCAGTCGGCAAGTCCAGTTTGGTGCTGCGTTTCGTCAAGGGACAGTTTCATGAATTCCAGGAGAGCACCATCGGCGCAGCGTTTTTAACCCAAACTGTGTGCTTGGATGATACCACAGTCAAGTTTGAAATTTGGGATACAGCTGGGCAGGAAAGGTAAGTTTATTGGGTTTTTGTTCAGTTGCATGGGAACTAGACACAAAACTCAAATATAATTTCCTAGAAATTGAAAATTATTGCTGTTTTATTTGTTTGCGTCAACTGCATATCAAAATAATAACTTTATGCTTTTTCATAGATATCACAGTTTAGCACCTATGTACTATCGAGGTGCACAAGCCGCTATTGTGGTATACGATATAACGAATCAAGATTCGTTCGGACGCGCGAAGACGTGGGTGAAGGAATTACAGCGACACGCTAGTCCAAACATCGTGATCGCGCTCGCTGGCAACAAGCAGGACTTGGCCACAAAGCGTATGGTGGAGTTCGAAGAGGCGCAGAACTATGCCGACGAGAACACGTTACTCTTCATGGAAACATCGGCGAAAACTGCGATGAATGTCAACGATATTTTCCTGGCTATTGGTACGTAATAATGAAAAATAATATGCAATGGAGTTATTAACGTTCGGCTTGTTTTTACAGCGAATAAGCTGCCACGAAACGAACAACAGACTGGCCCGAGCGGCAGCGGCCAGGGCAGGAGACTGACCGAAGGGGACGCCGGAACGAAAGCGCCGGGCAACTGCTGCAAGTGATCTAATAAAATCAACTTCTTTATAAACCACACAAACACATACACACACACATACTCGTATGTTATTGGGGTGCTGGAAGAAAAAAAAGCAAAACATTTATCAGAAAATTTGTTAATGACACAAAGTACGAGATTATTATGCATAAACAGTTAAGTATACATACAATGTACATGTAGGATGTTCCAAGGTGTCTTGCAACATTCAGAAGAAGAAAAAAAAATGAGATAAAAACACACATAGCAAATAACTTTAATTATTGCGACTTGCAAAACTGATCGTGTTTTATAAAATTAAAACATTTCATATTAAGACAGGCGTTAGACCCAACACCCTGTATATTTTAATTAATTTATAAACTTTAAAATGAAAGGCATCTCACGACCCGGTACTTCAATCAACTACGAAAATGCATATATGAATTATTTTTTTGCTCGATTGGGTTCCATATCTTTTCGTTAATCTATGATGAGTTGAGATGATGATAAATTTGATTATAGAAATGCATTTTTACTATATTATTAAAATTATTCTTATAAATATACGTATTATGTAATGTAGATATTATAGTTAATATAGATGAATTAACACACCGCCTCACGATGATACAATGATTACTTCTAAGCCGGAATTGACAGATAATGAGAGCGTTTTTAGTTGTTATATTTTTTCTCTTTGGTTTTTGGTCATCGATTGGTTTTATCAGCGTGCCCACACCGTTACGACATTCGATTCGAAAAGTTACGATATACTATAAAGAAATTTATTAATTATTATTATTATTATTGTGTAAATGTTATGTAATTATTATTTAAACATATGTATCAGCAAATTATTAATATATATTATGATTATTGCGATGCATGCGTGAGAATAATTTATTTGATACATTTTGTTTTTATGATTAAACAATTACGAAAACAAAATAGAATTTGAAATATATGTGCAATCACACAATACTAAGAAGACTTTGATAGCATACAATAATTATTCAACGTGCGTTTCACTGACTGCCTGAAACTGCAGGTTCGAAATTTCATTAAAATAAATGCGCATAGTGTTTGTAGAGGTAGAGCACAGTTCTGTGCATTAACCCGATTATTGTCTGGACTTTGTTATCAACTGCCAAGGTGAAAACAGTAAAAAAAAGTAATATGCAACAACGGTGGACTTATTTTTTTTTTATTACTCATAGTTCGGCTTCACACCCATAATAAAAAAATACAACTTTATTGCTTTGATACTTAATTCTAGAGTATTAAATAATGAGTTTAATCTCTAATCAACTAGAGATTATCAACCTTGTCAGTGAATCCCACTTGTAATCATTTCCTTGATTATTGTTTGTAAATTCGTAAATTTGATTGCATTGCATTTTATATTTTTACTATATGTTTGTATACATTTATTCAATTCCTTCCACCTGGGAAGTCGTGGGTGATACCGTTAGAAAATGGCGATGTAGCGTCCCAAGTTCGCCCTCCGTTAAGATATCATTAATAAACTTTTCAGCCCAAATTTTTTGATCCGGTTTCATACGCGCTAACTTATTACTCCAGTTTTTAGCCGTTATACTTTCTTCAGTTTCCTCTAATCGCAGGTAATCGTGTGGTTGAAGTTGTTCATAAGTCCGTGATAGTTTAAACTTTTTTGCGGGATTTGAGGAATGAATTATGGTTTGTGGTATATCTTCATCTTCATCTTCTTCCTCCTGTTCATCTGGTTCTTCATCTTCTATTCCATGTATTTCTGCTTTAGGAGGTTCTGTATAGGCGGTTGTATTATTTTTATTATCATATTTTAGTTCCCAGATCTTAGAACATAATCATAATTAATTTTTAAAAAATGACTCTGAAACATTATTTAAACTTACAAATTCATCCTTCATTTTTGGTGAGAGAGTTGTTACACTTTTATTGACCTGTTCATAATAGTCATCAAGAAATTTAAACTCATGAAATGCCCATGAAGGATAAAATGTTTGACCAATACTCTCTATATAAAGTTTCTTTTTGATTTCTCGTCGATAATTTGTCCGAAGAACGTTAATTTTTTTCTTAACGTCTTCAACTGTTGCGTCCGCCTCAATCTCCTGATAAATTTTGAGTAGTGTATCGTAAGCATCTATTTTTTTCGCTTTATCAAAGTACTCCTTTGATTTTGTATTCCACAGAGTTGGCAGGTCGCGGTATGTCCAGATAAATTGTTTCAATTTTGCGTATTTATCGGCTTTGTTTGGTGCCATTTTAAAATAATTTGCTTCAATACAGTCGAAGTTGAACAATCTTTATACTCAATCACGCACAATGAAAGTGAGTGGAGTTGAATGATGCAACGAAGTAATGGCGAACGATGGACAAGCAGAGTTTTAGGGTTAAAATTATTGACGCAATCAAACGCGCGCCAAAACGCAAAAATATTCACTCTTGTTAGATTTATTGAGTTCAAATGAACAAACAAGAAATTTGAAATTCATTATATGTATTGTTTGCAATGTTTTTATTAGTGTTAATTATGTATAAATGACTAATATAAAAAAATCAAAACAGGATTGAATGAAATACTGTTGCTGCTCATGGTTGTGGTTGCATTCATGTCATTAGGAGATGTGTTGTTGGTTGCATATATTTGAACATACGTATTTAAAGTTTATTAGATGCACGCAAAACATTAGTTCAAAAATAAATCTTATAGCAATGTGCAAACCAATTTATTGTGTAGATAATAATTTACTTGTTTAAAATAAATTAATCCAACATTTCAATACCAAATTTTTACGTTGCAGTTGCGTTATCAGCTTGTAATATACCATTATTTGTTCACCGCTGATAACAGGCGACTGCATGCGTTTCCCGGCACTAAAATTAAAAACAAACACACCGAATAACACGTTAATACAGCATGTACCTAAAGTTGACTAAACTGGTCATTGAAGAATTCCTGCAGCTGGAGAACGCGACGTCGCGTCTATATTTAGCAGCACTGCTCCAAGAACTCGCGCTCGTGCACGTCGAGAGACAATGATTAATGCGATCACTTTCTCTCTCGTTGAAGGAAAGCAATATACAGTTGTAAAACGTGTGCGAATTGTGAAGGTGTGTAACCAGAGTGAAACCGTAGCTCGCACGTTACGTATTCGTGGGCCCACGTAAGACTTTTATTATTCGATCACGGCGGCCGTGGACGAGAAACGTCAGGAGCAACAACATTCAGCGGGGTCGCGAGTTTTTAGTTTGTAGTATTGACTTGACGGACCGCGAGTACAACACGCGCGCTTAACAGATGTAGAAACGCGGCTGGAGGCTGGAGCTGGACATTTTACGACTTTTCTACACACAGGCACCAACGCGTACCTTATTTTTACAAGAACATATTTAAATTTTGACTCTTCGGCGGGCGCTATTTCCAGCGACAGTGTTTCGATTTTTGTGATGCGCGCGTGCTGCGGGAGGTGAGAGTGACTGGAAATTTCTGTGATGATGAACATGCCGTCGACCAGCACCAAGTGCGCCCAAAACATGTGTGATCCAGAGTGTGCAGATAGCAGTAGAACGCTGGGAATTATTCATGAGTTTAGAAAATTGTACGAGGACAAAATGCGGATTATTGAAGCTGAAGGTTCAGGCGATTGCAATATAAAGGTAGATCTAATTTTTCAAATCTCGGTATTTTTAAAAATTTGCTAAAATACACATTTGCGCGCTAATTTAAAACTTAAAACTTTGTTTTTCACAAGTTTTTGTTGAGGTAAATAATGTCTCAACTTTTGCAGACGCAATAATTATACGGCAAACAAGCCAAAAACATTAATGGATTTTTATCTGGTTGTACATTCAAATAGTCATTTTTAAGCACAATTTGTTTTTTATTAACATTTTTTTTAAGTGTGTTTGCAGTAAAGTGCGTGTATATATTTTTTTGTTGATGCCGAATTCAATATTTTACAAATGTAAATTCTTGAGTTACGGCGCCACAAAGTACTTATTCTAATTGCTCAAAGGTACAACCATGGAAATTTTGTTTTTCTTGGCAATAAATTTAAATATAACTGATATTACTTCAAATATTTATAGAATCGGACACCTAACCAACCATATATCCTGTCCCTACTCAATCTGCTTGTGCTTTATGCGTTTCTTGTTTAAAGTGCCTTGCACTTAATAAAGAAACTTCAGAAAAGTTTCACTCTTCATTTTGTGTTTCTGCAGGCTAAATTAAGCCTCCAGCATGACTGGATCCGCGACCTGAACGAGCAGAACGAGATGCTGGTGCGTGCGGTGGAAGAATTAGAACAGGAGGCCACGGAGCGCGTCATTGCCCTCGAAGAGAAACTGCGACAAAGCTCAAAGTGTGCATGTGAGGTAAAAACAACAATACTCAAATATTTACCTATTTTCTACATTCGCACCATTCGCTAACAAACGCTTTATTAACTTAACGCAAAACACGCTTCGGGAGTGCTGGTGATTGTGCGCAAGTCATTTTTTGTTTTATCGCATCATCAACCTGCATGCAATCACGGTAATTATGATTGTATCTTCAGCATTGACGCTTTTCTTATATGGGTTTGCCACACTGTTTTAGGTAATGAACGGATACAAGGATTTAAGCAATGCATTTCAGCACGTGGACGCACTTCAAGAGGACGTGTGCACTTTGGTGGCATTCATTAAAAGATCGATAATGCAACGCTCCTGGGATCTGGATAGCCTTAGTTTGCGAACTGTGAGAATCTTTGATATTACCCCTGATGTATTGTAAGATTTTTGTTGTTTCTTTCTTAGTAAATTATTTTAATATGATATTTTGCAGTCCACAGACACCTATAATGGAGAATGAGACTAAGGTAAAGTATGTAACCGTCAATAATAATAAGAAGAAACATTTGTCATCGGAGGTGCTGTACAGAAACAAAAATTTTGACAAACCAGAATTGCAAAGTCGTTATACGTTGGCAACCGATGAAACTTACTGCAAGAAATGTACGAAACCAATATTAAAATCGAAGAAACAAGATGATATACCTGTTAAGGAAAAAACGATGCAGACTTACAATGCCAACTTCTGTTCATGTTCGACGCGATTCAATACTCCATTGTTTGATGTTATTTAATTTCGCGGCAAAATAAAATTTTCATCCGTCTCCTGTTACTTTTACTTGCTGTTCATGTAGATTGCCAGAATATTACCGCGTAACTTATTGAAGCTCTACAATCAATTCAAATCACTAATTTTTGAAACAATTCTTTACAGATGCAGCACGAAATCGCATTAAAAGACAAGTAAGTCTATGATTAATATTGTGATAAATATTTATATTAGACAATACTTACAGAAATATAAAAATGCTGCAACAGAAACTAGAAGATGCAATGAATGCCAAAATGCTGATGGCCGCTGAAATGCAGAAGGAGTGCAACAAATGTGACGAATTGCAGAAAGTAAGTTTATTTTAATACTTCTATCACTAAAATGAAACCCCGCATTTTTGGCGCATTTTTGTAATGTTTTCATTACTTTTAATATTGATAACACAACGATCCTTTGGCAATGATTCATTCAAATTTTTGGTGTGGTTTACTAACAATTCTCAACTCAATCCTCAATCCGCTTTAATAAATTTGAATGAATTATAGTCAATGCTGGACATTCGCGACGCACTTGCGGCCGAGGTCGCCGACAAACACGACGTGATCCTCACGCTCAAACGAGACGTGCAAGTTTTGGAAGAGCAGTGCAAGAAGGCAGACCAGCAAACACACTTCAAGGATGACATCATCAAGGAGTTGCGGAAAGAGATCAAATTACTTAAATCAGAGGTACGTTTCAATAACAGTATCCTTTCATTGTCATTTCCCATCTTCTACAACAACATTTCCAGATATCAGCGTACACAAATGCTGAAAGTCCTATGAATACATTATCCAGTAAATCCATGGAATCCATTACCGATTCATCGGTATTCCGCTCCAGTTTCACAAATAAACATTATAAATGCCCAATACGTGAACATATCAATATTGAGCGTTATAAAGACTTGAAAAATAGTATTGTCATCTTTGTGTGCGAGGATGTGAGGCATAAAGAGATTTACAAGATGTACGATGGACATAAACTAAAAGTGGATTACCACAATCGACGCATCGTCCACGAATACGACGCGGCTAAATTGCGTAAAATATTCAGTGATGAAGATTTTACATCATCTCTAAAGTCAATACCAAGTATGCACGATGAAGACATTGTAAACTTAAAAAAGATTACTACTGAGAGGAATTCTATAATAGAGAACGGAACATTTTCTGAACTGGTTCACTCTCACCCAGCAATTAAGAATAGAAAAATGTCAATAATAACGTATGTGGTAGATAATCTACCATCAAGTACACTATATTTTAACTTAAAGCAATTAAAATGTGCAGCAAACGACGCGAGATCTTTTTTGTTTTGTAAAGATAATTAAAGAAACGATTATTGATTGAAGTTTAATTAGTAGTTACTTTATTTTGCTTATCATAATTTATGTTTATATACATCTTAAGTATTGAATAGTTTTGTTTTTCGTAGAGATGTGGTTGTGATATTATGCATAATGATGTGCTCATTGATAAATTGAACAATGTCTGCGACAACATCGAAAGAAAATTCGCATGGTCAATGAAGTTGCCGTGTCCATGTCCTCAAAGGTATTCAAGTCACCGTAAAACTGAAGTAAAGTGTAATGCTCCGACTCAGACAAGAACCCGAATACGAAATATTGCTTGTCAAACTATTGGATGTGCCAGGAATATAGCAATTCAATATTCTTGTGTGGGGATGCCAGTAGGCCAACCAAAAAATGATAAAAGCCAAACTTGTCGGATAACTGCTCCATACCCTTTTCTCTCATCAATGCCGCCTGCTCCAGCTTCCTGCCCTCTTGCATTTCCTTCGGCTGCACCACCTCCTCCGGCTACTACCTGCCCTCTCGCTTATCCATTACCCGCACCACCTCTTCCGGTTGCCCCATGTGTTCCACTACCATGCGGGTTTGACGTGCCTGTAATGGATACTAACAAAGAAATATCAACAAGAATAACATGTTCTGCAAAGTCCTTATGTGATACGGGATGTCAGACAATGAGAAATGAACGCAACAGCCAATCGATACAATGTTCGTTGATGAAACCGAAGGAATCAATTGTTGATTTTGATGAGGAGAGCATTATATACGAAAGTGATGATGAGAAGCTTCTTGGAAGAACTGCAGTTCTGCAATGTGAAGCCACTCCATCAGAATCTCTTCGTACAATTCAATCGATACCCTTTTCAGCAGTCTTTCCACCGTCTTCACTCACTAATAGGAGTAAACCTGAAAATAATTGTTGTGACAGATTAAAGCTGGATTCGATTGATCTAGATAATTCAACATGCCAATCGACTCCATCTGGTATCTATAAAGACTGTCGTTTTCATAAATTCATCCAGATACAAGAAACGAACAAGGCACCAACGCTATGTAGTGCTAGTCTGATAAATCTGAACAGCATTTTGGAACATAAAACTGGCAATTATGTTGCTAGTAAAATTAAAAAGCAAAAATCAGCTTCAGCAAAAAAAGCTTGCGATTGTACCGAATCAGGCAAGCCAGTCACTTTCAACAACTTGGAGCAAATTGCCAGAAATGCCGATTATTTGGCTGTTAAAGCTGCGATTGATATATCTAAATACAACAACGAATGTTCAGAAGATTGCAATAACAATAAAACGTTTAAAGATAACAACGCTGAAAGGAAACCAGATTGTTGTAATAATAAGTATCATGACATAGATGATCACTACAGAAGAAAGTTAAGCACGGGTGGAAATAGAAAAACAAATTCATTTTTATTTCCTGATTTAACTGCAAAGAGAGTTTCAATACAGAGCGAAGAATCAAAATTAGATTCAGAATCGGAATCAGAATCCGATGATGAAATGGGCAGTGAAAGTAGTATTATTGAAGAAATTCTTCGAAAAACATTGAGTCGTCCCAGCACAACGTCTACCGATTCAGTTTTACGTGACTCGAGTTCAACGAAAGATCGTAAACGTCGAAAAAAAGAGCAGGAGCGTGAACGTGCACATTCTTATAAAAAATATGATATAAATAATTTTGAAATTTATAACATGTCTCAAAAGGAAAGATCTATTTTTAAACAAAAGGAAAACCAACAAAATATTGAAAATACTCGTCGAAGATACGTTACAAAAAATCTTCGTCAATTAATGAATAGAACATCGAATTCCGTATTACATTCTAAGAAAAGTTGTTTGCGAAGCATTGGAAATCAAGATTTTGGCAAAAAAGTATCATTTTCAATCAGTAAAACCTCTACTACTAAATATGACATGCCAAGAAAACCTCGAATTACCCCGACATCGCCACCAATACCACGAGTTAGTCAAATTTTACACGCAGGCGAATCTAAAGCTGTTAAATGTTTACTGCAAAATTCAAGTTCGAGCACTGAGTATATACAAGGTTTATTTGACTTTCTACGCAAAACAAAGAAACACACTGAAGACACTTCTGTTTCCGAGGTTGCTCCATCAACCTCGGGCCACTCAGATGAATCAAAATGTGCAGAAGTGAAGAAACCAGATGAAAGGAATATACTCTCTGATACTCAAGAGAATAATGCAAAGGCCATTGATTGGACGGAAGTGGCAAAATTGCTTCAACGGTAGTGCGAAAAGGGTTCAAATTTATTGTAGACATTTCAAGAAATAAAAACATCCGAAATGTTTTTTTTGCATATTTTTGTTTCAGTTCATTGTTTTAATACTTTTAATAATAATAAATATTTTTCTATTCTAGGCAGAGGAGAGAACCAATACTGAGGTATGTTTTTACTTTTATGATAACATAATATTTATCTAATTATTTCCTAAGATGATGCACTTGGAATGTGAAAATGTTCAATTACGTGCGGCGATTAAGAAAGCAACGATTCAATTAGAAATGTTCGAGAATAGCAATGAGATTGTAATAACCCCTACTAATATGAATTAATTTTTATTTATTCGTATCTTATGTTGATTTATTAAATTATATAATTACTATTACAGTTTAGTGAAAATAATGAGATGAAACATTTGTATGAAGAGACCATACAAAAACTCTGCCATCTTGAATGTGAGAAGGAGGATCTACATAAATTACTCCATGATCATAAAATAGAGAGCTCGAGAAAAATTGCTGCTTTAGAAACCATGCTCATTGAGGTACATGCAAACTATTTTCATACTAGAACAGTGGAGTAAATAAATTAAAATTACTCGCTGCTTTTTAGTGTCGCCGTGCCAAACCTTGTGCTTCAATTGGGCAACAGACAATCTTGCCGCAAGCTTGTGTTGAATGTGAAACTGACCCACCGCCAATAATGGATAAATGCGTCGGGGATTGCCAAGCCCCTCTTTCTACCACTGGATGTCAAACACATGATTTAAGAAGAGGTACAGCTTATATAATACGTGTTTTTTATGTGGATTAATATGTTATCAAATGTTGTATATTGTGTTATTAGTATTATCCTGCGAACATGAAACTTGGTGTGACTGTAAATCCGATAGCGTCACATCTTTAAAAGCGGAAGAGACTAAACTGGAAGAAGTTGTACATGGTTTGCAGTCAAGTGTTAGCAAAATGATTGTCGTAAGTTATATTTACTTTTACGAGATTTTGGATTAAATCATAACTTAAACTTGATATATTTTTTTAGTCGGAGTGTCAAATAAAACAAGATAAAGCCAGAATTTCCGAACTGGAAATGCAATTATCTTGTGTAAGTTGAAATATCAATGCGTATATTAACACCTATATATTTGGTATTTATATGTCTTTAATAGGCTTGGAAAACTAGAGATTGTGAAGTACAAGCGGCCCGCCAATGTCGAGAGAAAGAAATCACAAATTTAAAACAAGTCATTGATAATTTAGTTAAAAATTTAGATAATGAAAAGCAACGCTCCGATAATCTACAGAAAGCGGTTGATATGTATCATGACACAGTAGACACAATGAAAGAATCCGAGCATAAGTTTAAACAAGAAGTTTTGGGTCAAAAACGTACCATACAGAATTTGCAAGAAGTTTTAATCAAAACAAAGCAGAACTTGGAGGAATTGCAAGAAAAGAGCAACATTGAAGTAGGTTTAAATTGGACCTCGCGTTGGTTTTCTTCAAATGCTTCAAATGAGAGTAAAACATCGCGTAAAAACAAAAACAACAATAATGCCAATACCAGTGTGCACGATGTTTGAAATGCATGCTTATTTATTTGTATTTATTTTGTGCATGAGTGTTTGAATATTTATTTAATTTAGTGGTGTGCAATTGATTCCTACCTTTCCCAAATCCTTAATTTATTTAATATTTTAGTGCCAAGAACATAGTATATTGGTGGAAAAATTAATAACAATTGTTACTGCAGCAGAAAAGGAGATTCAAGTATATGTGGAACAAGTATGAACTAAGTTGATATTAACTGAATTGGAAGGCATTTTAAATTTATTTACTGATTTTTAGTGTGAAGAGTTTGCCATTTTGATTGAGAATTTACGAGATGAAAATATACAACTAGAAGAGAATTTGTTTTATAATCACCAAGACTTGGAAATGTATGAAATGCGTTTGTCAAAGTATCAAGGCATGTACAATCAAGTTGAATCACAATGTGGAACCCTTAAGAAAGAATTACAAGCGTTAGAAGCTCAAAAGTATGAGAAGGATGTATTCGTACAAGATTTAAGCGAACACTTAGCAGAGTGTCAAAAGGAATTGGCCGATTTATTCTCAGTACTGGTGAAAGTAATACTAACTATACAAATGACTTATTTTGTTTATACATTTTGTTGTAGAATTCGGAAAAGGTTGAAAAAGAGGACCAAACTGAACATATAGCCGAATTACAATTGCAACTAACTTTAACTTCAGAAAAATTAAACTGTACTTTAAATGCTCTTGACCGTGAGAAGGAGCAATCGGCAAAGCTATCAAAATCGCTAGTAAAAAATCAAAATGTTACAGCGACAATAAGAAACGAGACAATTTTAGCTCATGAAAAGCTTCAGGCCGCGGCATTAACAATTGCAAGTCATGAGCAGAAAATCAATATATTTTCACAAGAAATTATTAAATATCAAAGTGTAATTGAAACATTAGAACATGATCAACGTAACTTAAATCAACAATTAGAAGTTGCTCAATTGCAATTGGAGAGCAGATGCACTGAATGTGACAAGTTTTGTCAACAAATTGCCGAATTGAAAATTTACCATGAAAATGAGGTGAAAAATTTATCTGATAAACTCTATGATATGGACCGAACCGAAAGCAAGTTAAAACAGAATTTGATTGACACGGAAACTAAGTATCATACGCAAATTAATCAATATCTCAGTGAGCAAGAACGTTTGATCACAGTCGTTAACACTCTTGAACATCAGATTACTCATATAAATTCACAGCTTATGGAAAAAGAACGACATTTAGAAGTGCTAAAATCTAATATTTGCAGTCAAGAATTGGTACAGAATAAACATGAGGAGATTATTCATTTGAAGAATGAAATCAACACGTTGATTCAAACGCAGGTAATGTTGAAAGCGGATAACGAAAAGTTACAGATGCAATTGGGCCATATGCGTTCTTCACTCACCGCGAATGATGAAAAAAATAAATTGATTATTGCCGAATTAGAGGCTTGTTTAAATGATCTTCATAATGATAAAGATTTTCTGGTGCGCAAAAATGATCAGTTGCTGGCAAAAATACAATCGCTGCAAGATATTTTCAACTCGAAAACGGAATCATTGGTCACTTTGGAGTTGGAACTGACTGAAGCGAAGTTTACTCGCGATAGTTTGTGCAATGAGAGTAAACAAGTTATTGATCATGTAAAATGTTGGTTGGAAGAGCAGCGCAAGATAAATATTGAGTTAAATGAACGTATTAAGCATAAGAATGATGTTATCGGTAAGCTTAAGCAGGAAAAGAAGAATTTGATAGCTAGGTTGAAGCAAGTTTCGTCCAGCGTTGTGGATTCCTCGTTGCAGAAGACTGCTTCGAGTAATTGTACTGCGTACACACGTCAACAGCAGCAATCACAATACCCTATGCAGGTGTTGCATTCGCCACCGCCTCCGAGACGGGGCTGGAGTTTAGGATCGGTTGACAGCGCGCCATGTAGTTTAATTGACGATTCTGACTGGGAAGCGGTAATTTATGAATGATTGTGTAAAGGAATCACCCTTACTTGTATTTGTTATATTTGTGTTTAGGATAACAATGACGAAGAGCATTGCCCCCAAATATGGATTCATAGAGTTGAGTGTCTCACTGAAGAACTGCAACGCAGCAATTTGTATTGGAAATCTAAGATGACCGAACAAGAGTATTCAGTTTCTAGGGACAAATAGCGTTGCGGTTTCATATATACATATTTATATATTTTAAGACTGGTTTTACATGCTTTTTACTAATTTATAAAAGATTTAGTTTATTGTTTTTCTTTGTATTATTTTGTGTTTGACTATTAAAAAATGTCATATTAAGTTTCTGGTTTGCTTTTATAAATGGAAAATATAATATATGATAAATTTTGTGGTCTAAAAGAAAAATTCGGAAATGTAAGCAAGTTAATATTAAGATTAAAAGAAAACAAAAGAAACAGATGCGACCGTGACAGGACTCGAACCTGCAATCTTCGGATCCGAAGTCCGACGCCTTATCCATTAGGCCACACGGTCAGTTGTCAATACCCTCAGTAAATAAATTCACCCCCTAATTTACAATATAAGTAATCAACTAACCAACTTTATTTGCATTTTTATTTATTAATTTTAATATAGTCTACATCAGTTCAGTAAATTCTTTGTCACATTATATATCCAGCCTCTAACGTGTTTATAATCAGTTACAATAATGATAATAATAATAATTAATTGGTAGCGTCGGGTCCGCTTCGACCAAACCGCATATGGCCGTAGTCATCAAACTCATCACGCTTGCCAAATCTGAGATGCCCGTAATCGTCCGAGGTTTGGCGTTTGTTCAGTTCAAACAACTCGTCGTCATCTAAATATATAGCACACAAAAACATGAAACACGCAATATTCATTAATATCCAAATATTACCTAAGAATTCGTCTTTCAGTCGCGAATACTGACTAAGTGGGCGTTGTGCCAGCCTCAGATAAGGTCGAGTATGTAATCGATGAGAATTATCATTGGGACGCACATTGGACGTCGCCGCTGCAGTCGACCGAATCGAATTACAAGCAAAAATAATAACGAAAAAAATTAAAAGACTTGAATAAACTTTTGAATAAGTCATTGTAGAGCACTAAAACACACACTTCGATTTTATTGATGGTAAAAATTGCGATAATAATACTTACATGTTTTTAAACGGTTCCGCTCTCGTTCAAATCTTGATGAACACTGCATCACTCGAAAGAAGGCGGCTATTTAAATATTCTTTGCTTGCATGAGTCTATTGAATAACAAATTCTTATTATTCTTCAAGCATAAGCCAATAGTAATTCAATTTTATATTTGCTTCTTCTGTGCGCACCAGTCACTTTTAATTTATGTCTTCAAGTACAATCATTATTGACATGTACATGAAATTTCATTACTTTGAATTTTTTACCATTTGACTCAAAATATTGCATTAAAATAATGAAAAATAAATTGAATTCAAATTCTTTGAATAATTATAAAATAAATAAATTTGATTACGTGTAGATAACTTGTAACTATCCAAGTTTTACACAGGATTTCTAAACGTCATCATAGATTATATTGTTAATATTATACAATTTAAAAATAAATATATTGGTATTACGTGTACAATAAATTGATGATTTATACAACAGGAACACTTGCGTGACTGATATTGCTCCGAATAGAGACCTTCGTGATCAATACATGTTTTTCTTTTTTGTAATGATAATAATATGACCCTCGTTGCTAATAAATAATTATTGATGCTGTAAATGTTCACACATGAGCAAACATATTAATTTGTTTTTGAAATTTAAATTTGCGTGGGGTGTTACACCTTTCAGTATAAAACTGTACCAAAAATGCATCTGAAAGCATTCGTTCATTGCAAGCATTGCAAGATAACTTTCAACATGCGGAACTTCATATTCGTATCAGTTCTGATAGTTGCTACCGTATCCGTGCATGTAAGTTAAATTTTAATATTCTATGTATTAAATATCCAATCGTTGCCCGCCACTTCGGCTTGTTGTTTCTTGAACCGATTATGTGCCCACTTTGAGAATAAGGTTCACCATTTTAATTTTAATATAATTTAATAATAATGCAGTCTAGCGCTATTTCATTGTGAAAGTTTCCAATTTTTTTAACCGAATTTTGCATCTATAATATTAATAAGCATTAAACGTTGTATTTCTTAGGCTTTGCCTGATGGACCACCAAAGGGAAAGTTTTTTGAAAACCTGAGAACATGTCTAGGAAACAGATGGGAAGAAGTGGCAACTCAATTTACACCAGGCCAAAGACCAGACTTTGCTAAAATAATGAACGATCCAAATAAGGCGTGCATTCCTGAATGTGTCTTAAAGAAGTTCAATGCAATTGACGCACAGGGACAACTTATTGTCGACAAAGTCAAGGAAATGAATATGCCTGGAAAGCCTGATGACTCAAAGATTACAGCTTGCGTTGACAAGAATAAAGATGAAAAAGACAAGTGTGCCAGGTTGATTGCTACTAGTGTTTGTCTTCTCAAAAGAGGCAAAGCTTAGTTTGGAAGAATATACTCGTAAGCCGACTATAACAAACATGATTACAAATAAATACATATAAAAAATAATAAATTATAAAAACACTACAAACCCCTTATATCGGAACTCCCGCAAACAAAACTTACCCTATACCAGAAATCTATTTAGTTGGTTGGTTAAAATTCCCCTATCTATACACACAATTTACAACGTAATCGTCATTGTCTATAACGTAAAAATAAGTTCATATTAAGACGTCTTGTAAATACAGACGTATTTACTAAAATAAAACACCCTGTATCTCGTAAACTAATTGATTTTATCAAACTATCTCACTGCAATGTACTAGTTGGAGAGTTCCCCTATGCAATGAATACCTTTTCAACTTCTTAGCCCTTTTGAAGTGCGCTAAAACATCCTTTAAAAATAAGCATTTTTCAAAAAGTTAAAAATCATAGTGTAAACAACATCCTGTCTCTCAGAATTAATTGACTTTCCTGAAGTTTTTCTGCGTCATATTAGAGTCCAACAGGCTAAATTTGAATTAAAATGGATGTTTTTCGAGTTTAAATATTTTCACTTTTTCTGTTTATACCCTGTATATTAATTTTCATGTCTATCCCCTGAAAATTGAAGTAAATTTGATGTTTTTGAAAATTTTCCTATTTTGAATTTCTTGTCGTTGCACCGACAAGTTGCCGTTGAGCACCGTACGAGACTAGCAGTAAAAGTGACTCGTGTTCCGGGCACCGTATAAAGGAAGCGGTAGAAGTGACTCAATTCAGGGCACCGAATAAGGGCAGCGGTAGAAGTGACTCCCATTCTGGGCACCGTACGAAGGTAGCGGTACAAGTGACTCGATTCAGGGCACCGTATGAGACCAGCGGTATAAGTGACTCAATTCAGGGCGCCGTACAAAAGTAGCAGTAGAAGTGAGTCGTATTCATAAAATATAAATTGTTTTTGGACCTTTTTGCCCAGGAAATTTAATTATTCTATATTTTTACCTGATAGAGAATTTTCCAAACTTCCATAATCCGAAAATGCTCAAAAAAATGACGCAGCACGTAAGGTATACAGTAAACTACGAAGACAATAAATTATTTATTTGTAATAGTAAATTAAATTCTTGTTTTTTTCAATCTTATGACTTTGGCTTTGGGATGCCAATAAATTCTTTTCTTATGCCGAGAAATATTGAAAGTAAAAGTAGATTTTCTGTATGCCGTTTATTTCAATATTGTGAAATTTTAGTTTGCTCTTTTCGACTACGAGTTTATCCGTACGTTTGTGCATAAACAACTTTTTTTGTTCGATTGACGCGTGATGTCGTTGCTTACATAGCTACGCGCAGCGCACACGGCAGTCGTTTTACCGCGTGGTCCGCGAATGTGTCTGTTTATTCGCCATGCGTTTTGAGGTTTTAATTGGATTAATCGTCGTGTACTCGTATTCTTTCGGTCATCAGCAAAATATTTGCAACGGGCACGTGTGGGTGTTTTGTGTGATGATTTGTGGCGGTTAGAGTCTTCTTAAGTGCGAAATAAGTATCCGTTAATCTGCGCGCGAGGTTTCTGTTGATAGAATATATTCCAGGATAGAACATCTCCTCTTCAATGCTTAGGTAGGTGTATAATTAATTTTTTTTCACGAAAAATTAAGGCGGTTTAACTATTGCTTATTAAATTTGAGGGATATTAATTTTTCTTGTATTATCTTGCAAATTACAAACACGTGGTTGCATTTTTATCAGAATTCCTAGTCCCGTTTCCGAAAATAACATGCATGATTTAATTATTACAAACACGGTTTTTAAAATTATGTGAGAATTATTAAAACGACAATATTCATGTTGTCGACCACGTTCACTTTAACGTCGGCCGTCGGCTCGGTTATGTTTTCGCTGAACATGTGAACGATTTCAATCGAAGTGCACTTGTTAAATTCCTTAAATTAAGAAGTTTTTAGTTGACGTAATAAAATCATGTACGGTGAATACTTTTTCGTTTTCGTAGTTTGCGTATATATAAAAAGGGAATAGTTATTTTTAAAGTATTTAACGACTATTTTGTTACGCGCCATCGCTTGTCGCCTAGTGATATGGATGTTTTCCGCCGGATATTCTATCAATTTATGATGATGCTTCACCCGTGGTCGCTTATCTTATGCAGTTGATGTTGTCATCAAATAATACATTTAAATACAAATAGGTATATTAAAATGTGTTTTATTTTTATAGCACCTTTTTGCTCAATTTCCCAATGATTTTCGGGGATTTTATATTAAAATATTGTTGTTTCTTGTTTTTTGCAACATCCTGTATATTAGTTTTCCTAACAGCCCGTAGAAAATCCTCTTTATTTGTGAATATTGAGTGCTCTCTGTTTTGAACTTCTTTTTGGTACATTCATTTTTGGATATTTATTTTCCTTTGTGTCCGTGAAACTTTTGTTTCAATTAGTTGTTTTTAAGGTTTTTCTCTTTGCGCTTTGAATTTTCTTTCTGAAACACCCTGTATATTACTTTCCCCGATTGTCGAGGGAAAACGAGCGATGTTTGTAGTGTTTATAGTTTTTTATATGTACTTAAAATTTTCTTTTATAACACCCTGTATATTTGTTTCCCTTTTTCAATCACCTAGAAAATTTGCTATTCACTATGTTTATTATTCTGGTAGAACTTTATGAAGTAATACATGCTTGCATGTGCGCGGCTATGCTGGTCGTAAGTCCTGTTTCAATAAGGCGACATGTATTCTGCTGACTTGTAAAATATAACCCGTATTCTATTGATAATAAATAAATAGTAAGATATATTGACTACTTTGGTTTGTGTACCGCTTCTGTCATTTCAGGAACAGGTCTCTAAGAGAGTTCCCTCTCTCAGGGGATGATCCCCACTGGTTCCCGGACTTTTGCCCCCAAGACGATCGCTCACACGACAACTGCTCACAGACAACTGCCCACAGTCATAACTGCGCACATGGACAGTTGCTCACATGGCTTTTCCTCACATTGACAATTGCTCACAGGACTTTTGCTCACACGGACAATTGCTCACAATATAATTTTTTTTTATATTTATTAAAAAACAATGAATAATAAAGCAATATTTAAGGAGATTGGCAAATTTACAATTATTCATATATTAGTTATTTATTTACGTAATTATTAAAAATTATGTGTGAGTATACTAGAAGTGAAACTTCAAAGAGTTATATTTATTGCTAATTAATTAAGATAAATGAACAAATAGTTTATTTGAAAAATCAAACACTATTAGCGTGCAAGCGAGGCCTCTTAATTGTTATATATTTGTATATAAATTATTTCATAATTAATATTCATTGTTAAAAAAATTTTTAAAAAAAATTAAATAGTGAGCAATTGTCCGTGTGCGTAATTTGTTTCTTTTCTGAAATATTGAAAATTTGATACGAAATTCTAATTTTAATTTATTATTGCATTTAATAATCAATTCCGTCTGTGTCATTCATAGATGGCACTACCATGAACTAAAAATCATAAAATAAATTTATACTGCTTATTTTTATGTTTATTATAAAACGTTTGGCACACAATGCCGTTATCTGCGTTTGTTTATATACAACGTTTTCTCGCATTTGCCGAGCGGAATGCAACGCACGTAGGTGCACCATAGTTTAGTTTTGATGGCAGATAATGTGTCTATTGCAAATCGTGCACAAGGTCGCGTGCCATCGACGCGCCGCCGGCTTTGCGCATCTATTACTTTTGCCTGCGGGGTTCAGGCTGCAGGTAGTCTTATCATAAACTCTCGCGACGTTGCTTGTTTGGCTACGGCAATCGCTATCGGTGAACTGCAGCCAGTATTGTGTCGGTCATCAATCGACTATTTAGTTGTAACTTGCATCTGCAGTGTTTGGTAGTGATTAATTGTGCGTTTAATGCCTATACGTTGCGAATAACAAGTAACGGTCGGCGTGTGTTGGTCGCCGCGTATCTTCGGATTAAATAGTGTTGAGTTTACGAGTAGATTCAATTTTTGTATGGACACTGCCAGGTGCTTTTCTTGCAATTAGAGGGCCATTAGTACTTGGGTAAGTAAGATCTATAAGAGCATTGTTACAGCCAGAACAGATTATATTGCAAGTTTTTTCTCCGATGTGTGAATATGAGCATAATATTAAATCTTATGAAATATTTCAATTTGTTTTCTTTTAAATACAGCGCTTGGCGAGTCTTGAGTGCCATGAGCTCTGCATTGGTAAGTTTAAAATTCAATTATATTTTTTCTTCAAGTTTGCGAATCGTAGTTTTGTATTTTTTTTATCTGGTTTCACATGCGCGTCCCCAAAATTTGTTCTTTACATTTTTTAAAATTTGCCGTAGAAAATGAAAATAGAAAATCTCGCGAATTCTTCACAATATTTTAGTTATTTCTTTTTTATATGATAAAGCAAGAGTCCTTTTTCAAGATGCATCCTTGAAATCTCGCGAATTTTAGTCCTAACTGTCTCAAAATGGCCGCGAAATTAGCTCTTTTCTAGCCTTTTTCAAAACTTCCGGTGGAAAACTGGTCATATCTCGCGAACCCTTTGCAATATTTTAGCTACTTCTTCCTTATGTGACAGAACGAGAGTCCTTTTTCAAGATGCACTCTTGAAATCTCGCGAATTTTAGTCCTAACTGTCTCAAAATGGCCGCGAAAGTTTGCTCTTTTCAAGCATTTTCAAAACTTACGGTGGAAAACTGGCCATATCTCGCGAACCCTTTGCAATATTTTAGCTATTCCTTCTTCATGTGATAAAGCAAGAGTCCTTTTTCAAGATGCATCCTTGAAACCCCGCGAATTTCAGTCCTAACTGTCTCAAAATGGCCGCGAAAGTTTGCTCTTTTCTAGTATTTTTCGAAACTTCCGGTGGAAAACTGGTGATATCTCGCGAACCCTTTTGCAATATTTTAGTTATTTCTTTTTTATATGATAGAGCAGGAGTCCTTTTTCAAGATGCACCAATGAAATCTCACAAATTTCGGTCCTAACTGTCTCAAAATGGCCGCGAAAATTTACTCTTTTCTAGCATTTTTCAAAACTTACGGTAGAAAGCTGGTCATATCTCGCGAATCCTTTGT